AACTGGTTACTCGTGGAATATACCGGCCTGGGACAACTGTCATCTTGTTCTGTGTTGGACAGAGACACGACAACAATTGTGTCAAGATGAAAATATCTCACCAGAAGCATAGACACCTTCAGGTTAAGTTGAAACATGCGGCCACGCCTACCCGATCTCAGGGATCTTCGAGTATATGTCAGCGCGTTGGCGCGCGTCATCACGAAGTCGAACGCAGCGGAGCGGCGGCAACCGATGGTGTTCTGGGAAAGTACAGGTGTATAGGAAGGTGCCACACAGTATGATTAGGCTTCACAAAATAGAAAGGTCTGCAGTACGGTCGCCAAAAGCAACGTTGCTGTTTTGTAATGCCTAATCACAATGTCCTCATATTCACCTACACCCTCCCGAAACAATGAGCAGAGACGCCGATCCGTACCCGACTACGGCTGCATTCCCTCTACAGATGCGTCGCCATCAAGAAGTCCGAACACCGTCGGACGTGACGCCACCCGCAGCGCTGCCTACAGCGCCGCTCGTCGCTGCAACCTGGGTTTCACAACCGAGCACCTTGCCCTGGTCCAACCGCTCTTTTCATCCCTTCATGGTTGATTATTTGGTTACAGGCTCCGCTTTTCCGAAGCAATCAGCGATACCAATGAAAGCTGGAGAACGGAAAAGAGAGATGGCCAGATGAGCTTTCAACCGCCCTCATCAAGCTTGAGTCATATGTGCGGCGCATTAAAGGGGATGAAACTCACTGCCTAACAAAGGCAGTACTAGGCGTGGGTAAATTGTGATCGTAACCGCGATTATGCACTAACTTTGCTTGTGAATTTCCGACGCTGTTTAGCACATAATATAAAAGAAGAAAGAATTATTTGACGTCAGCAATTGACGCTAGTATCGATCATGTAGTTATTATTCGTGGTGATCGCGAGCGACAAACACGTGACTCAGCACCGGCATCCTAAAGATAAGGGTAGCGTGGGTTCTGTCAGGCACTCGTGCCCAACTGGCACATTGCACGCGCACTTGTCACTCCCCTGATCCCTGATTTCGGCTGAACTAGGAGGAACGCGATTCAAGAGAGTGTGTTTATTACTTGAGAACTTTGCTTATAGTCCTGTTCGCGGCGGATGGTGGGTTTGGCGCGACGTTAACCCGCTATTCACCCGTTGTTGGAGCGGGTAAGCGACAAGGACTACTGAGAAACGGCTGGTATATACGGTATAATAGTGCCAAAGGAAAGGAAAGGAACTGGCGGCGCGCCAAATCCTCCCTTGAGATGCCCCCTCATCCGCAGCGAACAAGACTGTAGTCTATACAGGTAAGATTTATGGTCACTCAAGGTGGTTTGGTTTTCCGCTTTTCGTTTTCAGCATGTCAAAAGACGAAAAGTACACTTTTCGGATGCAGCTGGTTATGAGCAGTAGATAAAATTACGGACTGTGGGACTAGGATTCATGACTAGGGACTAGGGGGACTCAACTGTCTTCTACGCTTGGCGACGAGACCTTTTTCACGATTGCAGCTGCAGGACCGAAACATAATTTTCATACACTGAAACTTTAGTATTTCCAAATAATGGATTACTAAGACAAAGCACGTATCGAGAATGACGGAGAACGAGCCAATGTAGAAATCTCGATATATTAGAACATTTAACTCTTAAGTGCTCCATCTACCAAAAAATCGGACAGTTTTTTCAAGACTCCATCTGAAACAGGAATTGACGGAAAATATTGATATAGGAAAGAGATGAGATTAGATATATATAGAAAACCAAAAGTAAAATCAGCATCATCACCCGAAACCAGTTTGTTCTTGAACTAATCTCTAATATGAGGAAGTGAGACAATCGCGCAGATGTTGGAAGTAATATAATAAAACTGAATGCTGAAACAGCATTGGGGAGCGAGCCGTTCACAGACAACAACCTTTTCTTCTGTCGTCACCATTGACGCAACTCGATGATAAACGCGTATAGTGCGACATGCATATGTTTTGTTGAGGAGGGGCGGTCATGCGGTCGGGACAGTTTTCAGGGAATATCGCTGATCTATAGGACATTGCGGCGGGGCGACTAGCCTTTTACAAGCGATTTGTGGATATTTGTGTTCAGGGCGATCACGCTAACCACGAGACAAGTTTTCCACGATTTTCGATAGACCTCGAAGGTATTTTGACGCCAGGCAATGTCGAGGATCGAATGTCGATGTTGGTTGTATCAGGCGTTAAGAATAGACAGTAGATTCAGCGCATGAATATTAGGTGGAAACCTAGGTATTTTGTGCGCAGGCGCCTGTGGCGCGTGGCTCGTGTCTTATCCTGGTTCATTCTATACTGTTTCTGTTCGTTTCCGAATCGCATACTCCTAATGACATCGTTTGAACAATGGTTTGTTCTGCTCGCACGGCTTTTATTATCTCGGAGCAGTTGCTGTCGCGACAGCATTGTCCGACACCCGTCATGAGACAGACTGGCTGGTCGCTCCCATTGTCCGACACCGTCGTCAACGTGTTAAGGGAGTGGAGGAGGTCGGTATTTCAAACTGTATTCAGAACGACATAAAGGGTCCAATGAAAACCGTTCTCAGAGAGATACCCCTAGAAGTTTTTTTGCACGGAGCGGCGGGCCTAGTAGTGCTCTGAGCAAGCACATCCGGCACTCCACGTATCCTCAGGATCCGTAAACCGACCCCGGGGCGGGGTTGAACTTGACTTACACAGTGGAGCCAAGAAAACAAAATCGTTAACCATGGCGTCGCAATCCGTAGAGCTTGGCGGCTGACGTATTCTACCACAGGAGCGACAGTCTTTGCGAACTGGCACGCAGGTAACCCAACCGTGAAAATTGTGCCGCTGTTCCGACCTGATGCGAGCAGTGTAGGCCGTCTTGAGCACGATGACAAGACGGATGACATCACCTTATTATGACAGTTGGGGCTGAGGTGAAGTGCATGTTCCCGCTTATAGAAGCATGTCTTCAATATATTTTGTCATGATCTTACACATGCCTTGTCGCGCCGGGTGAAATAAGCTTTGCCGATGTACTCCATGAGCAGAGTGTCTCCTTCTTACTCCCCCCCCACGCAATTGTGTATTGTTGTGTCGCATTTCCGAACCGCAATGACAAGCCCTAGTACCAAGAGGGTCATGCGCCCTCTTGTGCTTAGACTGAACCTCGCCTAAATCAAAGCTGCTTTTCGTCCCCGACCATCAAAGACCCTGAGGAAAAAATGCGACTAGGCCATATCGTCTATTGTTATAGGCCCCATCGTATTCAATGCGATTGAATGGGGTGCAGTGCGTGCGGCATCCCAACAAATCTTGATCAACGGTGAAGACATATCCCCTATCTTTCGTGGGACCCCGACCGATTTACCCACTTTCCTAAAAATTTCACCAGTTTTTCCCTTCCGAAAAAAAACTGCCGTCGAACGGGAACGGGAGGATAGGTCTTCACTAATAACCTAGCCATTTCATCTACTAGGAATAGCGGTAGAGAGCTTCCGCAGCGGATTAAGGGGCAGGTTATGTAGCGCTGGTATGGTAAAAATCAAGAAGAGTCAAGCCCTGAGAAGAAGATTTTACCGGTGTCGGTAAGACCAGATACGACCCTCTCTTATCTGTGAAAAAGTGCGACCCCCAGACGATGCTCTATCCTGGTGACATGTCACGCGATTTTAATTGCTTCACTATACAACCTTTTTTATTTCCCTCATTCTACAGGAAAAATTGTTGCTGCTCTTGGAAGACACTTATCTAACCGTTGTTAGTTAGCGCAAAAACATATAATCTGTCATATGCATGCTTATCACGACGAACGACCGCTCTTTTTTCTGAGGGTTACCGAACGAATTCGCATCTGTAGGCGATCCAGTAGGTAGACTGACGCGCTGAAAGTCTCCCGTTGTCTTCTCTTTTGTAGGTTTGGGTGTATGTAAATGACCTGAAATGTGAGTTTATTGTCAACTCATCCGGGGTGAAGGGATGGACGGTTTGGTTGGCCTGGTCGGAAGCCGATCTGGGACTTGATTTCCACGATGTGCGTGACCTAGGGTCTACAAGAAGAGCGACTCTTACCCTATCAATTCTCGGTCTTTTCACAGCATACAAGAGTGACAATTTTGGTGAAGCGGGTTTAGTTGTCCGGCTTCCGGTGAAAGCTTGCTCAAATGGGGGCATTTCGGCTGCGCTGGAGGCGGGCTTCCATGTATGCAAACCCGCTTTCCAACCATGCCCCACGCTTCCGAAACCCGTCCTTTGGTTATGAAAGGTACCCTCAAGACTCGACACGTCGGCCGCAACATGAGTCCGTGCGGCGTTTCAGTCGTTGCTCGTGCAACATCATGCGAGACACTGATAGTTGAAACTAGTTGTTATTTTCAAAAAAGCTTAACAAGTTTTCAGCAGACGGGATCATCAGCAAAGGACCGATGATCGAGGATGTGGCGACTGTTTGACAGTTCGAGTAATAGAAGTTTGCAGCCAACATGAAGAAGAAAAGGAGTAAGTTTGAAAGGGAACTTTGGAAACAGTCCCAGTGAAAAGGAGTAAGTTTGAAAGGGGAAATTTGGGCAAACAGGTCCAGTTCTAATAATTTTCGGAGACAATGGCTAGATACAAACTGAATTGAATTCGAAGCAGATTCGCGTTTTAGTAGAATGAGAAATTTTTTAGTGGAAAAATAAATATTGAGCCCCTATAAGCGCTAGCGTTCATTTTGGCTTTGGCCTGAAATAGCGAAATCGGGAATAAGACATTTTTTTTACTGATCTATTCTACTTCAAGTGTTTTTTTCTATGGAACTTTCTCACCGTGGAAAGTTTTTTGGTTTGCTTGACCTGCTTTCTTTACAAAGGTTGCTGCTGTTAGCGCGGCGTTTGCGCCCACCTGGTTAGCGGGGGATGTAAATTGAATCGAAACGCAGTAATGTTCTGTCAGTCAATGATGGGGTCCTTGGGAGAGAATTAGCTTTCGCCTCTGCGCCTTGGGAGGTTTCTACGTTTCATAAGTGTGCAGGTTGGGAATAAAAGCAATGAGAAATTTGGTCCGACGATAAAAAAAACTGGAAGGCGATAGGCTGCACTGCAGCTCTTCCAGTTCTCTCAATTGTTCAATGTCGACAAAACCAACGGAATTGGCGTCAAAATCTTTTGCAGGAGGTTCGAGTCCATGAGGAAAAAGATTGAGAGAATCAGGAAATCTCATCAATGCCTGAAAATCTCGCAATTTTGAATTTACATATAAGACTGCGGCGAACAATTTGATGCAAATCGCTGTCGACCTCTCTAGAATCATGAGCGCTTATTGGCGGAAGGCTAGTCAAGCGAGTTTTGAACATTATTCTTAAAGATCGACTGGCACGTTTTGGAGAAGAGGCCCTTTTCAGATAAGATGGGCTGGCAAAAAAAAAAGCGGGCCGGCAGGCAGGCTTATTAGAAGCGTAAAGGCGTCCTGTTGCAATGGTGGCCGGATATTTCTCGAGAAAGCGATTTTCATTTAGAAAGGATGAAAAAAGCCCCGCTAATTGAATCAATAAGCAGAATGGCCTTTAAGCTTGGTTAGGGAATAAGAAACGTACCTGGGAACAGTGTCATTGAACCCAGTCATGTCGGAGGTTTGTGAGCGTTTTGATAGGTTCATGCGTGGGTGACGTCCTAAAATTCTAAGTGACGAAGAGATGCGAGAGATTGTTGACAGAGCGGAGAGGCTCAGCAATGTGGCACGGAATGATAGCGCTGTGAGCACAACCGGAAACCATTATCACTCCTTACCAAGAGGTCGAAGAGCGAACACTCACTGATGCTTGCCAAAGCCCCACGAAGACGTACGCAAAACAGCCGTTAGTCATGCGTACGTTAGGGCTCGAGGAAGAAGGTCACTGAGACAGTCAAAAAAATCACGCAGATTGGTATCGAGATTAGAAAGAGCGGAGCCGGGAGGAGATCAGGAGCACGCTTTTCTAGAACAGTTCTAGAAAAATTCAAGTAGATAATTTGGAATATTAAAATATGGTTTTTTGGAGAACCTATGCTGCCGTCCCCTGCATTACAAAAACCGTTAGAGAAGAAAGTCCACCGAAGCCAGAAAATAGAAATAGGGCCTTCCCCGACTCACTGACGTGCTGCGCTGCCGAAATCCGCCCAGGAGGAAGTAAGTAAATTGGTAAAGGGTTTTTACATCTAAGAACTGGTCTATGGCTCCCGTTATGCAGATGCATTATTGCGTGGCATTCCTACAGAACAACGGCTTTTCTATGGCACGAGATTCATTAATGGCGGGTTTTCCAGCCAAAGATGAATCACGTCATGGCGTATGAATGTCTTGAAATCTGCTAATCTCGAACTATAAACAGCGTCTCTGTCAGCTGCGAATTCATGAATAGTTTCTCAATAGTCTTGCGCATTTCATGTGGCATGCAAGCGTGACTCAGCTGTGAAGAAGTGAAGGTCTTCGAAAAGTAAATACTGGCTGGAGTGTTTCGAATAGGAATAATTTTATCCAAGGTTTTCAGTTTTAGGTCCTCAGTTCACGCTTATCGCCGGACGCAGTGGGGGCATATCCTCAGATTTTGAAAAAACTCTCTGAAAATGCCCTTCCCTTAACTTCAATATGATTTCACTTGTCCAATCAGTGTCTTTGTGGACTTCTGCTCGCGAGGGCCGCAGACGCTTTAGAATTACAGCACTTTCAAAATTCCCAGACAAGTTGCCAATCGGCCCAACACAGAAGGAGTAAGACATTTGGCTCGCCCGTGTAGGAGTCGATTCAATCTTCAATCTCGCACCTTGACATGGTACTGCAAACACCTCTGTATAATCGGAACCAAAGTGACTGCAATTTAGTTTTTGTGGTACACTGCAATTTCTGCAATAATAGGCAGCAAGACGATATCACGCAAAGTAACACTTTCCGGGACATTCGTATCTAAGGGAACTCACAGATAAGTGAGACACTCAAATTCGCAGCTCCTCATTAGTAAATGGAAATGGCATGCCTACAGTGGCAACCTGGACGGATAAACGTCTGACATATCACTTATTGCTGTATCTATCCCCCCCCGATTTCCCGGACTGGAGAGGGGTGGGCTGTGCACTTCAATTGAAAAAGCCGCAGCATCCCATCTTTCGGGAAATAGACATAGCTCCTTCCCAAAACAACTGTCGGGCTTTCATGTGCTCACAGACAGGTTTCGCCCCATTGCCTTGCGAATAAGTTCGAGTATACCGAGCGACCGCTCTTTATTATTAGTAGTAAGAGGGTGTTATCACATTCATACCCCCCTTGAAAGACTGATACCCGATTAGTTTCCTGACCTTATTAGCTGTCTGTTCCATTGATATGTCATCCTGCTTACACCCACGGGTTATTTTGCAAACCGGTCGGGGCAGCAAAATTATAGTGATCAACACATCGCTGTACTAATATGCAGAGTGTTAACCAGCTATGTTGACACAATCACTAAATATTTATGTGATAAAGGAATCGTTGCAAAGAATCAAAAAACAAAATCGTGAAGACATTGTAGTCACTATCTCTGCAAACGATAGGGTGGTGTAGGGCCGTGGTTGGATCGTAGCTGGAAAGCCCTTCCGCCAATAGTACGGGATCCAGTATGGGCATCGTTCCCTGTCACACGTCCTATCGTTTGTAGGGACCTTGACTGCACACACAATTTTTAGGACAAGGTCGGCTGTGGGTGACTTGGGGTGGAGGGCCTATGTCAGCCTATTTCTTGCTTTGCCCTGCCACAGTTTTTGAAGCTTGAGAGTGGCGGTAATTTATAGTTTGCCTGTCCGCCTGCAAACGCCTTTCCGTTCCAAACAGTAAGGTGGAGGTGCCGTCGGGACAAAACCAAAACTCCCCTGCACCAATCCAGTCGCAGCGAAAACGACTGTACCCTACTTTCTTTTTGGAGAGGTGGTCGCCAGAAGCATAAGACATGACGGGCTGATAGTTGGGCTACTAACGTGACCCCAACTTGGTCGCTCCCAAGTCTCTCACTGGAACCCTTTCGAATGCCATGGTTGGTTACGACGGTGAATGGCTTATGCTGTCATTTTTGGGAGAGTTTACCGCTGGCCAGATTGCAATCCCCGCTGCTGTTAAACACAAGCTTTTCAAGGCAATCAAGGGTTTGCTGAGAAAATGCAATCAAACTTAGGCCGCTACCTAAACCGCTCAACATCGCACTTCCCAGCCATCCTTGTTGGGCGAGCGATATTCGAATTACGAACCTTCAGATGATTCTAGTGGGATATTCCAGCCTGCCCCTCTTGCGATCACAGCACGACACTTGTAATCAACCTAGTAAGGCATTAAGGCAGTGCGTTAACACTAATCGAAAAGCTTTTGATTAGAGCTCAACTAAGCATAAATTCTTCATCCGGCGTTCCCATTAAGGACAGCTTGCGCACGTGATATTTTGTTCAATTTCCTAAAATGCTAGCAGGGCGCCATAATGGCGAAAAAACGAAGTGGAAACGGTCAAAAACCTGCGAAAGAAGAGCCTTCGTTCTCAATGACAATTTCGGACGAGTTTTCCGTAGACATCTTGCCAATAACCGCTACGGTGGGTACGGCTGCATGTATGTTCTCATATATCCATGCAGCACCGCAGCCGCTTCATATCAATCCCTTCGCTTCATATTTTACTTCGCAAATGAAGCAATACGAGCATCAGGTACGGTCGTCCATTTGTGGGCGGGCGGGCGCGGTGGGCGTCCGGGTCAATATGTATGTTGTAGCTTGACAAGGCCTTATAAGGGTACCTTCCTTAGGAAAAGGCGCTACGCAGCGCCTGCTCAGGGTCGCGGAATCCCGTCCTGCTGGCGGTATCAGTCCTACTCTTCTTAGAGATTTATCGTGCCAACTGCCTCTAAGGTCTATAAGACTGGCTCTTTCTTGGTGGATCCGGCTCATCTGAAGCATTCGACCATAACAGGAAAAAATACGGATGTAAGAGGCGTGAAATTGAAACGAAAAGTCACTCGTAGCGACGAAGTCTAAAATCTAAAATGTAAAGCATTCTAAGTGGAGCTTGATGACTGTCCGCATTGTAACGACGAGTCACGAGGCTCTTGAACGTCACAGCTCGGGGTAAATGCGTTTTTGTTTCCTCAAAAATGACTGGTCATTCGAAGAGACATCATAGGCTAATGCGTCGCATTTTCTGACGGATCTGACTCATCTCGATTCATTCCGTAGTTCAAATCTCCGCTTTCCTGGACACCCACCTCGGCTGATTCAACATAAACTCCTTGAGCAGGAAGCTCCTTTCCATAATCTGACACCAGAGAATGTATTCGTGCTCTTATCAGCTGCATCCGTGAACCAACCGCTGGTTTTTTTTTCTTCTGTTTAGTTTGTTTCTTTTGGTCTGTTTGCACTCAAAGAACGTTTCAGACCAAACATAACATACCACACGTAGAATAGAATCAATTGACCAAACCCCTGATTGATTGTTCACCCACTCTTACTACCATTGCTATCTTAGTATTCATTTGGCGACCAGGAGCATCAACGTAAGCGTTTAGGGCGCAGTTCGGCGACGGGGGGGGGGGGGGATTGGCACTTTCGTTGCTCCACTAGTTCCGGTTTGCATACCTTACCCTGATGAAACCTGTGGACTCCTGTGAAGACGGAAGCTTCAGCCTCGAACTGGTCTGATGCAATGAAGTTCAGCAATTCTCCCCAGCGACAGGACGTGCCCTGGCACCAATTAGGCTGCGCTTACTGCAAAGTTCACAGCTCGATCCCAGAATACCCTAAAGATCGGGGAAAAAAGTTATATGAAAAAAGATCTTGTATAATATATTGAGTGTGCCCGACGTGACCCACTCATAGTAAACGGAGCTGTTATTGTTTGATAACTGCTGTTTAACGCCGCAGTACGCGATCCGAAAGCTATCACAAGAATGCTGAGTTATGGGCAAAAGTCGGACCACGGACGGGATTCGAACCCGCATCTTCCGCTTTCCGTGCGACTGCGTTCCCTACGCTACCGAGGCCACTCTTGCCCTCTCAGCTCAATGGCTATTTGTGCCATTGCCTTCCCATCACGTTTGAACGTGTGAGTGCTGGAAGATGCGGGTTCGAATCCCGTCCGTGGTCCGACTTTTGCCCATAACTCAGCATGCTTGTGGGGTGAGCAGGGAGTGTTCTCAAGCAACCGGATTATGTCACGACGTGACTGGCACGAATTTGCAACTTCTCGGCTGTTTGTGTGGTTATTTCCCTTGACACTTTTGAAGGAGGGCCAATCGGATGGGGTAGCTCCACAGGTTCCTTCAAGATCTCTTTCTAAGGGATCCGTTACGTTTCGTTTTCACTGGCAAGAACGCAAGAACACACGTACATTGCTTAAAGAATTGCAAAAACCTATAATTATGTGAGCAAAGGCACGAAAATGGCTATGACTGTGCCCGAAGAAGATAGTGAAGATTTAGTTGGTCATTAGTTTGTCTTTCATTGCGTTCAATCATGGCACTTGCTACATCCAGACCCTCTGCTAGTAGAGGATGCACGCTTCAAGTCAAACCGAGACTCATGGTTGTTATAACGTGCTTAAAGGTGGTTGTTTCCTGGTCAACATGCCTAGCGTGTTGTAAAACACTACGTTTGAAACTGTCATCTGTGAACTGTCCNCTTTCCTGCCTGTTACAGTGCAAACATGACTGAAGGAGAGGCGGGGGAGGGGGGGGGGAGAGCCAGAGTCAAGTGCTTCGAGGAAATTGAAGCACTTTACGACGACAAAGGGGT